TATACCGGCTACCCCCCCACCCCCAACCCCTCCCCCCGCCAAAAAGGGAGAGGAGCTTCCTCAATAATAGTTTGAAACTGAAAAAAATCCATTTGCAAACTAGTTACATACAACCAGAAATTAAGCTGTTGAAAACCGGGGGCATGAACCATAAGACAATAAAGGCTTTAAATGTGTATATTTATTGTTCTGGAGCCCTGGAGCATTGCGAGGTTTGCATGCATGGCTATTATGCAAACACAGAGAAACTTAAGAGCGACAGAACAAGGAACAGGCAGAGACTGCAAAGCCCTCGCTCGCTCCGACCCAGCTGCCGGTCCTCCGCCAGGCTAGACTGCATTTTCGCAGTGTGGATGTAAAATGGTGTACTCGCTTCCCCCACGCTCCCCCATCCCCTTCCCCGCCCTCCTCCCACTCCTTTCAGTGTTACACCCACCACCCCCCCTCCGATTTTAGTATATTGGCACCAATCTTTCCAAAGTGGGCCTGGCATGCTAAAAAAGTAAACATGTACTATATGGGGAATAAGGTCTGTATAGTATGACAGTTGAAACTTGATCTGTGATAAAATTACAGGATGTTGAAATTACTAGTAAGCTATTTTTAACGCTTTCGCAACGTTTCACCTCTAGTCACAGCATCTAGTTGAAACAGGATTACTTTAATGAAAATTATATTCACATGGCTGAAGTTAATACACCCGGCAGAGCACAAATGCCTTATATTCAGTGACTTGAGGTGGAAAGACCCTCTGTGTGTATTTTTATGCCTTTTCAAAACGTCTGCGTCCACTGCAGTAAGAATTAGGACACTTAACATTATCTAAACCACATTTTTGATTCAGAACATGGGGAAGTAATAAAAGGCAAGACCTAGCTCGTTTCTATACACACAGAGATAAACGAAAGAAAATGGCAGATCCTCCAATTACAATAAGTAATAAAAGCCCATGCCAAAGAGCCGGTATTCTGAAAGATGTCGAAAACTATTTTAATAATTTAAAGTAATATCACAACTCTGCACCATGGAAGACAATGTAACAATTCGCAGTCTCCCATCTTTTGCATTAGCCAATTATGACTTGCACATCACTCTTTAATTATCTTCCTTGAAATTTCATCTGATCTTTCTATTTTATAAGCATGGGTTACAAAGAGAAATTACAGCTCTCTGGTGCTTTCTGTCTCTTTTTAACTTTATGATGCACACTGCAGACGTTTGATTAGAATAACCCATTTTGTTCATTTTTTTACATATGAATGGACTTGACTGAAGGGCATTTTACATAATTTTTAAAAAATACATGAGAGACGCCTAAGGCTGCAGTTAGTCTCTGTCCTGTTCGTGTAAATATATACATTCAGTTCAAGAAATACTGTATTAAAAAACTTGAGTTGCAGTATTTTGACAAGATCATATTTGAGATCGACTGTGAGTCAGTTTCCTGTATGACCAATGCAGCAGCATTTATGCAGGAAACCTCAACAGAATGCCTGAGGGTATCCCTCGATTGTATATTAAATCTCTCTCTTTAAAAATACACAGTTCAAAAAAAAAAAATACACAGTTCTTTAGAGCATCTAAGCAACTTCTGCTGGTTTTGTTGCTATAAGTCTTTAAGGGTCTGTAAGGAACTTCACCTAATTAGAAACCCTGTTTCTATGTCTGTACAAGGTTAGGTGCTGAACTAGGCTGCATGCTGCCTGATCTCTCTGTCTTCTGGAAAACTCTGGATAAGGTTTTTGAGATGTTAACAGTTGCAGGGACCTAGGTCTGAATATTTCTGAATATCTGCAGTCTTATAGTCAGATGTCAAAACTGAATCACAGGGGCATCCTCCCGCTCTTTTTACAGGAGCAGCACCCCCATGAACCTAAAAAAATCCAATAAATCAAACCTCAGGTCCAATCCTGTGAATGACTTTTAAAATTATAGGTCACAATGGTGTGTGTTTACAAACAAAACAAAAACAAAAAACAACCCCCTCTATTTTACTTCTTTAATATGATGCTTGATAGGCACCTGTAAATTATCTCTGTAGCAAATATCCATACAAAGAAAGTTTCAATTAAGATAGGGAGATTGTATTGAAGCAGTTCTTTGAAGTAATGTAGTTAATAGCCTGTTTGATTTCTGCTTGTAAGAGAGTAATAACGTGGATTCAAGGTTCCATCAATCACAGAGCAGATGTAAGACTTGAGACACCCGACACCCAGGGGAATAGAGGCAAACTCCTGCAGTGCAGGGTCCTTGGGCTAATGTAAAGTAAATACTCATAAACAGATTGAATGTTGTAAGAAGACAATCCATTCTGGACAGTTAGAATCATGAAAGCAAGTGCTTTATCTATAAAAAAGCTTGTAGCTGGGACTCACAGTGTATAAAAGAAGAGTGGGGAAAAAGCAGTATATGTTTATATCACACATTATTTTTGGGCTCTTTCTTATACTGCAACACAGGAACCTATACCCACACATCTATATTCCGGCTGCTTTGCTAAGCCAAAACCCAACTCTCTGTTTTAAGTTATTTGGTTTACTTAAAAGGTTAAAAAATTAAAAATCATCCTCACCCCTCAAGGGAGTGGGAAAGCAGTAGACACATTTTTCAGTGTCTGTGAATAAAGGATCGGGGGGTTAAGTTAGTTGCGAAACCTAGCAGTGACATAATTAGGCAGCTTGGACTATAATAAATAGGATCATTTAAAAAAAATTTTAAAGTACAGTTGAAGAAAGAAGGCGACCATTTCAAAACTTCAACCCTCTCTGCGCACCTCTGGGCCTCCCCCTCCCCCCCAAATTGTAAAAGACAAATGAAACATTTTTGACCTTGGCTATAATAATACTTCATGTTTTAGCACTTTAGTCAGCATTTTATCTACTAATTGCTACACACTACCGCATGTGGCTCGAAGCTGCCACTGCAGCTTTCTTTCACTGGTGAGCGAATTGCTTCATAAAGACTGGGAATTCAACCTGGCTGTTTCCTTCCTTGCTCCCCCGACCACGTTTTTTTTTTTTTTTTTTTTCTTTTTTTCTTTTTCTTTCCTTTTCCACGTAGAAGCCGCTATATTTTTCCAGAAAATACCGCATGGGTCAGAACAGGGACGGTGACTGGTCCGCTAATCTCCTTCTACCGGTCAAACCCAGGCCACTTTGGCGATCGGGAGGCAAAGCGGGAAGGTGAAAGGGGGCAGGAGGAACGAGCGGGGCGAAGCTGGGGGAGCGGGCAGTGGGGGATCCTGGCCTGCTGGTGGTCCTGCTAAGTGATTCTACACGTTGGTCCCCTGGCTAGTCCATAGCTGGTTAGAAGTCCAGGAGACTCCGCGCTGCCCACCTGGGGACCTCGAGTTAGAGGCTCTCTCCCGTCTTGCTTGGTCAAGAAGTGGGGCTCGAGGAGGGTAGCCCCGGAGTCTGCAGACTGATTCGTGGATTGAAAAGCCAGCACTGTCCGAGGGTCAGCCACTGCCTAGTCCCCTCCCCCCTTCCAAGCCTGGCGCCATCGCGAGCGGTGGGGGTGGGTGGCGTTATTAATAAGGCGGCCTCCAGCAGAGCAGACTCGCGGAGTCTGAGCTCAACGTCTATGGGTTTAAGGAGGGTAAATAGGGTTATACGGGTCATTGCTTTCCAGGAGACCTCTAGTGGTCAAAGGTTGAGCTACATCTTAAATTTGGGCCTCCTATTTGTCGCCTGTCTCCTGGGCTGTGGTGGGGAGACACACTGAGCCTCTTAACTCAGTTCCGGGCAGTATAGGCCGGTAGCTTGGGACAGATTTCTCACGGACTTGAAGGCAGAGCCAAGAGAGAAGCGGGGAACTCCGAGAAAGGGACCCCTCCCCCCGCCCCTCCAAACCCCGCCCCCTCCCGCCCCGGGAGGGGTCATGTGATGCCCTTTGTGGACACTGGAAGCCCCAAGGTCCTCTGCCCTTAGTGCAGACGGAGACTTCCTATCTTATCTTAATTTTCCTCCG